TTTCCAGTCATCTGGACCCTGCTCGAACCTCCATACTCGGTAATCCTTGCTGTCGTCGAAAGACATGAGATCATCTCTCCACTCGTTACTCGTGACGTAAGCATTCGCATATGTTTTACCACCCCATTCTTTTAGCTTTTTGCTGGCTTCCACGAGGGGCATGTTGTGAACGATAGGGATACCCAACCCATGGTTTGGGCCCGTCAAACGCCAATCCGTCTTTGGGTCTAGTTCGAATTCATTACAAATACGTTCATACGCACGTCGATCGTACGGATTGTTTACTGAATCCCATGCCTTGTCCTGTGGGACAGGGGCGCTGATTTCTTTGAGGATACGCCTTACCTGGTAATACACGTGAAAAGTGAAAACGGATTTACTTAGCTCATTACGCCTAGTGTCTGTCAATGTCAAACCACATCCAGTTGTCGCACACCACACGGCAAAATTGAATTAATTCTGCCAGAACTGCATAGGGTTATGAAACCAATCGTGAACCGTTTTAACATTAGTGACCGAAAACCTATAATTTTTAAACACGTCTATAAACTGGGTTTTGAAGTACGAACCAGCCGTGTCAACCACTATTTTCATGTGTGTGAAGTCATAAGCCTTTTAATACCGGATAACAGCTCTATATTTACAGCAGAAGCAAACGCCATCTTAACAGCTCTGAAATATATTCAAAGACATCCTAAACATAAACAATATATAATCTTTTCTGACTCTCTTTCTTGCCTTCAGGCTATTAAAAATCTATCTTGCAAACTTCTACTTTTAATTGAAATAATTGAATTATGTAATGATCTTGCTACTGGCCAATGCGACATCGTCTTCTGCTGGTTACCCAGCCACGTTGGTATTTCTGGGAACACAATGGCCGATCTTGCTGCGAAGGCAGCACTCAACAAATCTGTGACACCACTTCTTATTCCATACTCTGATTACAAAGCTGCTATTAGATGTTATATCGGCGATCTGATGCAGAAGAAGTGGGACACTCAAGTGGGACTTAATAAATTACATGCAATAAAACCTTATGTTGGTTATACCTACTTGGGTTGTCAGTCCAGATTTGAAGAGGTCATCATACGACGATGTCGTATTGGCCATACTAGATATACTCATGAATACCTCTTAAAAGGTGAGGATCCTCCGTTTTGCATCCCTTGTGATGAAAGAATCACGGTCAAGCATGTCCTGCTTGACTGTATTGAATATTCCATCACAAGGGATAACTATTTCAAATCACAAACTATGAAGGATCTTTTTAATCATATCAGTTCTCATTTAGTTATTGCATTTTTAAAAGAATTAGATTTGTTGAATGAATTGTAAATAGATAAATATTTTAAAATTGGTAGTTTAGTTGAGCAGCTGAGATTGTTAGTGGCTGTATCCTCACAGGGGGTTGAAGCATTGTAAAATTATTGTCCTCCTGTAAGGGTACGTAAGTCCCAAAACATTCAAACTAAATTTAAACATACCATTAGTTTTAAGCGTAGAATATGTGTTATTTAAACTTATGGCTAAATCGTCTAAACTTGTTGACGGCTGAAGGGATGGTGTAAATCCAGCTAGGGTCCATGCAGGAAGCAAATGTACTGTAAGTCCCCATGGTCCCTAGTATGGTGATCTACCTTCAGTCGTTAGCAATCTACAGCCTGTTTTTATATTGTATTGTCATTTCTTGTTCCAATATTTTAGATTTAATTGCTAGTTTTAAATGGATATCTGTGATACACTAGTAGTTTTACTGTTCTTCGTCAACAGGTTTTTAATTTCTAACTTTATTCATCTTTAATATAATAATAAAATGTTCTCGTCACGATATGGCTGAAATATTGCCGATGTGACGATAAATATTAACTCACTCACTCACTAGTTTTAAATTGATATCTGTGATACACTAGTAGTTTTACTGTTCTTCGTCAACAGGTTTTTTAATTTCTAACTTTATTCATCTTTAATATAATTATAAAATGTTCTCGTCACGATATGGCTGAAATATTGCCGATGCGACGATAAATATTAACTCACTCACTCACTCACTCATAAGCCTTTATGTTGTCGTTTTTTGGGTAACGTACTTCGGGTTTATACATATTATTATATAATATATAAATATATATAAATATGTACATTACACTTCCGGGTGTAACGAGCGGTGAGGCCGTTCGACTTATGCACGTTATTGATAACACGTCTGGTCAACTCGAAATAGCACTATGTGATATAACCTACTACCCGTGATGGACAAACATCAACAGCAATAATAATAATGTGTTCTTTGGTGGATTCCTACGTAAAATAACAGATGGATACTACAGCGTGTGTTCTCTCAATGATGAAGTTTTCAAACCCTTAGGAGCTGAACTCAAAATAAATGACTCAAACGGAACAGTGGTGTTTATTAACAACAGTGCAAACAAATTGAGACTCGGTCGACCGTTGGCGAAGATACTAGGGCTGCCACCAGAAGAAATAAACCCTAAGATTACCGTTACTGGTACGAAGTTACCAGAGCTAGTTCCATACCGCGAGCTATGCGTTCATCTCGATCAGCTTAGCACAACAGATAATGTACAAAGTGAACGTCCTTCCACGTTGTTGAGGGCTGTCCCGGTTAAAACAGAAAAATACAATGACGGACGCACCGAGTCGTTTTCATCGCGACAGTATAAAAAATTGATAAATGGTAATATTTCTGAATTAAAAATATCAATTTTAGATACAAAAAATAATAATATAAATATAGGATACCTCAGCGTAACACTACATATACAATAATGGCAAGCAATCAAGGCCCAGGAATGCGAGTAAAAAGATGCAGTAATGTAGGATTATCAGACCTAGGTGATACTAGGGGGTTCGATGACTCAGGAATAGGTGGTAAAATTTACGCTTTAAAGCTTGTAAACAGCATTTACAAACGAGTTGAAGTTCCCGTCGTCGGTGGATCTGGTAGTACTTTTAACCTAGATACATCAAGATCTGTCAGCAACACTCGATACGATATAGTTTGCAACGACGAAGATGAATGGAGAATATACCCATCGTTCGGTGGTAAATTGTTCGATTTAGAAGACTTTGACAGAACGAACGTTGATCAAAACAAACCGTACTATCTAATGCTCACTAACGATAACAAGTTGATGATGTTACCATCTCGAATCAACTGGTTTCTCAACATCACACTAAGTTCCCCATACGTATTCACGGAAAACAAAGACCACTTACTAAACAAAGTCGTTAACAACGGAACCCTAATCGTGGCTTACGTCCCATCAGAGAGACGCGGTGTAATCATCAGCCCACTCTCGACTATGTCAGCCTACATGCTATCGGTTAAACCAGGGGAGAAAAACGCGGTATTGAAGTTGGTGTCTGAATTCGACGGCGTGCTCAACATCTTGCAAAATCTACCGGAGAATTCCACGCTGTTCATCCAAGTCTACCCAGGTCAACCAACTCAGAGTGAGATTGAGATCGTGAAGGGAATCAAACTCCAGTGGGCTAAAAAACACCAGTATCGCGTTTGCTCTATGTACGTGCGGGTGAGAGACGATTCACACACCAGTCTGCAGGGTGTCATCGTTAACGTGGAAGACACTATATCTCTAGCCAGTATTTTTCTATCCGAGAACATACATTTTATGGAATTGAAGTTAACGCCTGAGAAATTATCAGAAAAACAATTGGAAACTATTTTATAACAGTTATATAAACAATGGTAAGTCATCACCCCAATGTAACACTCGGTGATCTAGGAGACACAAAGCGGTTCAATTTACCTGGTGAGGAAGACGACCCGTACCTACTATACTATAAAGACGACGTATACGAACGAATGCCACTAGCAGATTTTTCAGAACTTGAATGGTTAATTAAAATAACACTAACCTCACCTTACATCTTTTTTAATCAAAATGATTTCGTTTCCAAAATTACAAACGGGATTCTTCTCACGTCCTTTAATCCCTTCAAAGAAAATACTGTTCAAGTATTACGAATACCAGGGCACACTGGTAACATGTTAGCTCCAGTCGGCTTGAATGCCAGTTTATTCATTCGCAGCATTTACGATTACCAACGTGATTTTTTTTCAGATTCAAATTATGGTATGAAATCACACACCACGCTAGTTATAGACGTATATCTCGCAGAGATGTCCAGTCCAAGAATACTTTTAGACGGCCTGAGAATAATTTGGTTTGAAAGACATGAGAATAAACGTTGCCGAATCATAATAAGACAAGGTTATAAACCATTAATAAGCCTAGATGGGGTTAGTATTTTAGACGAAAACATACCTATTAAGGTCTCACCCATTTACCTGTACAATAATCTAAACCTTATAAGCCTCAAATATATTAATCAAAAATTAAATGACATATAATTAAAAAATAATTTATAAAATATATTATAAACACATAAAATGGGGCTATACCCAGTCTTTGAAGATGAAGGAAATATAAAGGGAAGTGTAGAAGGGTTTCGACTTAAACAGATATGTGAAATAAAACGTCAGCTAGAACAAGACCGTGATATTCGGGCATCGCTACACAAAAAATACAATAGAGCTTTAAACTACATGGATGGGGCTGATACCACTCTTATGACAACTAGCATGGGATTAGGAGCAGTAGGAGTTGGATTGTTGACCACCATCGTAGCCGCACCAGTGGTGTTAGGCCTTGAAATAACAGCTGTAGTGACAGGAATAGCTGAGTCAGTGTTTAAATTTGTATCTCGCAAATTGAATCGTAAAGCTAAGAAACACGATGAAATTAGAATTCTTGCTGAAGCAAAGTTAAACACGATAGAAGACCATATTTCCACCGCTTTCAATGATAATAAAATCTCAGAGGAAGAATTTCGTTTGATCCTATGTGAACTCGAAAATAAAAAAAAAATGAAAGAAGAGATTCGATTAAAGTTTCATCAAAAAAGTTCTGCTATCGGCAAGAACGAGAACAAAAAATACATAAACCAAGGGATACAACAAGCCCAACAAGCATTTATTACGAAAACCAAAGACATCATAGAAGATACACGTTAAATTGTTTTGCTGAAGTCAATATTTTAAATTGATGTGATCTTATGGGTTTACAAATTGAGGAATAGATACTTATTGATTGCTTGCCTTTTATATGGTGACCCCATACACCATAGTCTTACTCTTTTGAGTAAGACTATGGTTACTTTTTATCTCCCTTAAAAGTAGCCATAGTCTTACTCTTTCGAGTAAGACTATTGATACTTTTTACAGGGGAGATAAAAAGTATTTGTGTTATGGGTTTATGGTCCCGTACCACATAGTCTTACTAGAAAGACTGTGGCTACTTTTTTACAGGGGAGATGAAAAGTAGTTGTGTTATGGATTTATAAATTAATATGAGTAAGGAATAGATACTTATTGATTCCTTGCCTTAATTAGGCTGGTCCCGTACCCCCATTGTTTATACTACTGTACCACATAAAATCTGCATGGTATGCCGGTTGATATTGTTATTTTGAATCGGCAGACGATGCACACCTGTTGTTGCTGCAGGACAAGAAATATTTTCGATGCGACAGTGTAACTACTTGGGGGTGCAGTCATATGAGTTAAATATATTTGTGCGTGCTGCTTAAGTATATCAAATCTGTGTAATACCACAATATACATGGATAACCTATCAAACTATGCATCGTTTAGAAAAAAAAGTATTTTGATTACATGAAAGACAACGTTTCAACTATGTATAAAGTTATAACTTTAAAGATATGAAACTTAAATGTGCGGGCCCAATGTATGTTTCAATTACAAAGTTCTCTGTTAATGTCTTCCTACAATCAACAAATGTCATCATCTGGTGTTCGACTGAACCGGCAAAACGTACTGGATAAAACCCAAAGGACGTGTATTGTTTATGCGGCACTGCCCGACATCGTGTTGGTGTATTCCCTGAGTGGCTGAACTCTGGATTACGCAATTGTTAATTGCGGTGGCCACCAGGGACAGTGGCCCCTTATAGGGACAGCCCTATAAACAACCAATTATCAGGTGTGAAAACAATTAGATTTTCTCGGGTTTTGTCACTTTGAACAGGGATACATTGGCGCTTAGGTATTGTTTATCATCTCAGCTCGGTACGCTGGTCATGTTGAGTGTGTTGATGGAGGCATTTCTAAGAATATATAAATGGTCAAATATTGTTATTATGTATCTTTTTTTCTTTTTCTTTTTTTTTCATATTTTTCATGTTTACAAATTTACAGTTCGGTTAACATACAGCAGTATATACTATGAGGTGCATAGAATACAGTAACCTTTACAATGTACAGGTAAATTTACATTAATCAACTTTTCAATATAGTATGTAATGATGACCAGAATTTAACAAAAATATCGTTTTTACAAGAAACTTAATAATTATATTTGGTAATGTCGTAGTACTGCTTAATTTGACTTACTATATACCCGAAATTGGGAATGTTAATGTTTTGACTGTTTTTGAATATTATGTACTTAACAAGTAACATAACGGCGTTAATAGGATTGTTATTTCTTCCTTTGACTCCGAGCATTATCTTTGAAACTGTAATGTTAATGTAAATTTGAGCTGTTTCTAACCATTTTTCTAAACTTTTCCAAATTTTGAATACCAGATCACAATACCAAAACAGGTGTTCTAAAGTTTCTAATTCTTTATTACAAAAACGGCAAAGGGGTGTTTCCGATATCTTTATCCTGAATAAGAAGAAGTTCGTAGGAAGAATATTATGAATGATCCTATATTGCAGCCATTTTAAGTCAGTACTACGAGTGCATTTATGAGCTATCATATTAAATACCCTCCATTCCTTTTCTGAAAATTCGCAATCTAAGATTCTTGCCCATTTATTATAACATGGTAATTGTACATATTTAGAATCCAATAATGTTGTATATATATATTTACTTCCTGATAGTGCAGTAATGTGAAATAAGTTAAAAGGATAAATTGGATTTGGACCAACACTTTGTATTCTCTTTATATCCAACTTAGAAATATACAACAAAACAGCCCATTTCATACCTTCATAAGTCAAAAAATTCGTTTGGATATTATATTTTCTTTTGAATTCATCGGTATTTAACAGTTTATTATGTATCTTGTATGTGCCCAAACATATTGACTGCATTTATATTTATAGGAAAAGACTGAGTGTGTTTTTCATATTGTTCAGAATATGTGCTAATAATAAGCCTTCAATGACTTGAATACATGAATTCATTCAACTAAACTATATACAATGTATATATATAGAGATGATATTGCCAGGGTAGAGATTGCAAGCGGAGTCTGTACTGGTAGAAACTTATTATATAGAATAACCTATGCAAATGCAATCTCTACCAGTGGAAGCTCCAATCTGATCCTACATATGCTTTTTTGATATGTGTGTGTTGAGCCATAGTTTGTATCAACAAAATGGCCATGATTAGGAAATTATCAATTAATGAAATTTGTATTAAGGTGAGAAACATTGATATGGAATTATTTAATTTCTTTACATTTTTCATATATTAAAATAACATGCATAGTAAAATGAATATTATTGTTCAGCAAATAAAGTGTAGTTTGCCTACAGATCAATCAGGGTTTCTACCAGTTGAATTGGAAATTGTACTGGTAGTATCGGATCCGATTTCAATCTCTACTAGTAGGATACTGGTAAAAAGATTGCGAAGTCTCTCTCTCTCTCTATATATATATTAGACACATGTTTCTCCTAGAGGATCTATCTCTGAAACATTTGGCACTCAAAGACAACAGGGCTCATGTCTGAGATGAAATGACTGTAACTTCGCCCAGTGAAACTCATGTAATACAGAGTGTGAATAAACGATGTATAAAGAAATCACCAAATTATTTTTATTTTCATTTCGTCTTGATAAAATGTTAAGGTATGCCTTGTAAGATTTGTGCGGCGATCTACTTCTGGGAACCATTTCCCCTCCATCTTGAAGTTGTTTACAGGAGAAAACAACATCATTTGAAGAAAGTCCATGTTAAATTATCCAAAGATGGTGTCTAATCTTATTCAATTAAGATAATTCTGGTAGTGAAATAAAAAATTCTGCCAGAAATGTCTGCGGGAAAAATTATTTCTGGCAGGAATTTCTGCGGTAAAAATAAATTCTGCCAGAAATTTCTGCAGAAAAAATAAATTCTGCCAGAAATTTCTGCAGAAATGCATTTTCAGAGCCAATTTGTGACCTTATGAACACGCCGCGAGCGCACTGGCACATGAACGTTTTGGGTCCCTTTCCTCGATATCTTTCCAATGATATAAAATATGTCTTTGTAGCTCGCTTCCTTCTGTGTGTCAAGTTAGGACTCGCTGGCCATTCCTAAATTGTCCCACCCGGCCTGAAGGTAAAGCGTTTAGATCATATGGATGATGTTAATGACAGGGTTTGTCATTCTGATATTTAGCCTCTACAAGCAACATGAAACAGTTATCATACATACCAATATCATTCATAAATGTTTATGACTATATACTAGGCACATAAAGAAACTGTGCATTGTCAAAATATTATCCCTGTTGATAAGTACGATAACAATGTCAAAGGTACATATAAACTGTAATGGAGGGATCATGAGACCATAACAAGTCGGGAGAATTTCAACTGAAAAGTCAATCACAATGACGTCACGAGTCCACAAGCGGGACAGGGGTCAAACGACCATGTCACAAGCTCAATAACGGGTATGTCCACCATCGGCATTGAGAACAGCAGTGCATCAACGACGCATAGAGCCTATCAAACGTGCAAGGAAGGCTTGTGGGATGTCACGCCAGATTCTCTCAAGTTCTGTTGCAAGGTCAAGGACGTTATCTGGCGGATGAGGAAGACGGCGTAGACGTCGATCCATCTCGTCCCAAACATGTTCTATCGGGGAGAGATCCGGTGAATTTGCAGGCCAAGGCAGTAAGTCAACGTTGTGGTGTTGCAAGAAATCCATAGCAACCCTTGCCGTATGAGGGCAGGCATTGTCCTGTTGGAATGTTAACCCAGGGCCATGACGTTGCACAAAAGGAATCGCCACAGGTCGAAGAATCTGATCCCTGTAGCCCACACCAGTTAAGTTGCCCTGAACAATCACCAAAGGAGTTCTTTGGCGTGCTGTTATTCCACCCCAAATCATCACGGAAGCACCACCAAAGCGATTCCTCTCCAAGACACAGGCCTGTGCATAACGTTCTCCCACGCGTCTATAGGCACATTGACGTCCATCACTATGGGAAATGTTAAACCTGGACTCATCTGTAAAAACAACATTTCTCCACCAAAACAAGGGTCTACTGATATGATTTCGGCACCACATTCGGTGAGCTTGTCGATGACGTTGTGTCAGGATAGGCCGTATGGCGGGACGTCGTGGTCTGATCCCGTGATGACGTAAACGTTTTCAAACTGTGTTGGGGTGGATACGGCGAAGTCCTAGGATGGTCCGGGCAGTCATCACTGCAGTCTGAAACCTGTTGCGAAGATGGGTCACCCTTATCCATCTGTCCTGTCTTGGCGTTGTTACACGTGGACGTCCAGAACGTGACCGATCGATGACGTCATTGGTGTTTTGGTAGCGTCTCACCAGTGCAGAAATGGTGTTCCGGTGGCAGTGGAAATGTACAGCCACTTGTCGTTGAGACATTCCCCCACGGACCATCCCAATGGCCTCATGACGTTGTGCAGACGTGAGCCTTGGCATGCTATGCGTTTCAATAGCCGTTTAATTTTTTGAACGATCGCAAGGGCAGGGGTTGAGCTTTCCAAAGTGACAGTATTGTGTGGCATTCATTTGCTCTGTTTCTCTTTCCCGGACTGCACGTGCAACAACGTCTTGCACGTCTCAAGGACGAAACCACTGACATCACAGAACGTGGCACGTGCATGCATGTTGGATACATATCACTAATCTCTGACTTTAAATCCTTATGTGTCTACACAGGTTTGATAAATTTAGTTTTTAAATTTTTGTATGCACAGTTTCTTTATGTGCCTAGTATAATAAACATGGTGAATCAAATGATCTGTATACAAAAATACACACAAATATACAGCTCAAAACAATGAATTTGATCTTTCATATTACTAAACTGAATATATATAAATACAGTAACGAGCAGAAAAAATGCGACTTTTCACAGAAGTATTTACTGATAAATTCAGTTATATTTTTCATATATCCACTCTGGATACTGAAGTTTACATTTATGCAAGTCAATAGTCTGTTAGTCTACCGTTTCTCTCGATGCACTGCTGAATACGGCGTCCCATGCTGTCAATCAAATTGTCTATGTTGTCCTTGGGTAGGTCCACCCATATTTGACTGATGAGATTAGACCACTCAACGACACTCTTCGGTTCCAACTTGTCTAAGTTGTCCTTCATAATTTACCACACATTTTCAATTGGGTTCAGGTCTGGTGATGCCGCTGGTAATTTCTGTAAAGTCACGTGACTCGTTTCAAACCAGTTACAGGTGTGTCTTGACTTGTGTACAGGTGCATTGTCCTGTAAAAGTTTGAAAGGTATTCCACTCTGTCCTATATGGGATTCCACTATGCCTCCTTGTATAAGTTGACAGTACTTGCGTGAATCCATCCTTCCTGTAATAGTTAGCAGCGGCGTTACCCTGAGTTTGCCTATACCACCCCAAACCATGACATGGCAATACACTGGGTGAGAACTTCGGAACCATTTTGCAGCTACGTCCAGCCTGTCGCTCCGTCCCTAACCCTGCGTCAAATTTCTTCAAATTTCGGTAAACAGAGGCCCGATGCAGTCCCGTCAGTTCCACAAGTCTAGTTACGGATGTAATACCTGCTTCATAATATGCCAAGAGTCGATTTCTGTTGTTTTGTAACGTCATGGCAAAGCTTCGGTATCGTCTGCTAGCAACGAGGTCACGTGATCAAGCCATCCCTGAACCCAAAGGAGATAATTCCATACCAACGAGGCAAGCTACTGGCGGCTAGAAACAATGTATTTCGGCTTTTTTGATAGTAGGATCGAGTCTACAGAATAAAGTTTTGTCGCATTTTTTCTGCTCGTTACTGTACATGGTATGATCAGTATGTTAATACATTGGTAGAACATATATGTGAAGAAGAACTTTTTAGACAGATTAACATTCCACTATTTGTGAACTGTTGAATTAAGGGTATTTTTAACAATGAAACCTGTCATGAGAAGTGTAGTTGTTATGGCTTGAAGCCAGTATCAGAGTATACATTTGCTATTGATTTTGCTATTTTGCTATTGATTATTTTGAGCATGATAACCCTGGTGATATTAGAATCAATCTGATAGAAGTCAATAATCATATAATTTGATATCATCAATTATTCAGTCCGATAGCAGTTAACTAGTTTGGTAAATGCTGCTATGGACCCCTTGCTTTACTTTATACTTTACAGCAGCGCATGCATGCATAGATCAACACACCATCAGTGATTTGGCTTTGTATTGTGGAGAATTTGCTCTTTACTTGTTGCTCGGTTCACTGTTGTGATTTTATTTTGTTTAAAATCTAAATTTTATGGTATCTTGAAATTGTGTCTTCTATAGATATTTGGGTATTGTGTTAACACCTAGACTTATTTGGACTAAAGCACTAACTACTCTTGGTGCACACAGTAAAAAGGCTGATATGACAATGCACAGATGTCAAAAGATAGTTAAAAATATACCATGTCAAGATTAATTATGAAATTTGATGCTATGATTGTTCCTACAGTGCGTAATGGTGCAGAATTACAGGGAACCTCATATTGTAAAATTATTGAAGATGTACAGCATAAAATGTGTAAACGGTTTCTCAAAATGGGTAAAACAGCAAACAATGCTCTAGTTTGGGGAGAATGTGGCAGAACCCCTCTCCAACTTGTGCACACCACACGGGCTATTAGGTATTGGTGCAGGCTACTGTATTTGGATGAACACAAACTGACTCGCCAATGCCGTACCACATGGCTCCTCATATTAAAAATATTCTGTTTAGACTTGAATTTGAATATGTGTGGTTAACACAAGATGTGAAGATCTCTGTTCACCTTTTGAAACGAAGATCATTTGACAACCTACAACAATCATGGTGCAGTTCTATCAACAGTTTATCTGATTCCTTCTATTAACATCATTCTAAATCACTGTTAAATGTGAAAACCCTATCCCTGTACACCTAAGACTATTCATGGCTCTTTTTCAGATGTAGTATGTTAACATCCAGTCGATTTCGGAAGATACACAAAATGAATGTCCCATACACTGAATGACTATGTAAATATTGTATATTAAGGGGAAGATCTTTTGTTGAAGATGAATTTCATATACTGTATTGCTTGCATGTGAGCTTTACTAAGCCCTAAGAATTATGTATCTTAAACAATTATATATAAAGTCCTACACTGTAACATCTTTTATCTGATCAATGCTTATAATAATAATGATAATAATAATTGATTTATAGAGCGCCTATTTCCAAAAGATATTGCTCAATGGCGCTATGAAGAGAAAAGATTGTAGACAATGTCTATGGAAAAGAGAGTTTGAACAGATGAGTTTTGAGGGCAGTTTTGAAAGCATCTGCAGATTCTATTTCTTTTAGGGTGAGTGGTAGAATGTTCCAGAGATAGGGGGCTGCAGCAGAGAACGCTCTTGATCCCATGGCTGTTTTGACGTGAGGCTGTGTAAGCAGTAGGGAGTTTGACGAGCGGAGCAATCGGCTTGGAACATGGAGATGAATGAGGCTTTTAAGATATGCTGTTGATCACTGGATTGTCTGGTCCAGACTCGATTATTTACCGATCGCCGCCATATAGCTGGAATAAAGCCGAATGCAGCGTTAAACAACAATTTAACGGTCTGTCTATTGTGATTTTAATACCAACAGGTTCCAAAACTGAATGTTGTGTCTGTGTGTGCTTCACACAAGGCACGCTTTCCTTTGTAGGCGGTGGGGTAGTCTAGTGGTTAAAGCGTTGGCTCGTCACGCCGAAAACCCGGGTTCGAATCCCCACATGGGTACAATGTGTGAAGCCCATTTCTGGTGTCACCCGCCATGATGTAGCTGGAATATTGCTAAAAGCGGCGTAAAACCAAACTCAGTCAGTCAGTCAGTCCTTTTGATGAGTGGGCTCTTCCAGAACAAGCTGTCAAGATCACATATCATTTGGTTTAACTGTATGTGCGAGATGTTATTGTGGTTGAACTGTATTTGGGGACGGTGTAGTATAGGAGTGCGGGGAAAGAGTGCAAGGTATGCGAGACGTGTGAGGATGACGGGTATACACGTTAAGCGTGCGGGTTGTTTTATAAGGAGGAAGGTGGCGAATACTGAGAGGTTGTGTCAACGGAACGTTGGTTTATAGAGAGGTTGGTCGTATCATGGCGTGAGTTGTCAATGAATTATTTTATATTTTTAGGTAGGGTTGATATTATCAAAGGGTCGGCGTGGTACATGTAACGCTACTGTGTAAGTCTCCAGAATTAATCACAAGTAATATTGTTTCATAGCTGGCAGTCAGTTGTTTGTATGGCAGTCAAGGGTTTGTAATACATCGTGCTGACGATGTCGTGTTCAGATGATTATTGGCATATCAATTATCTGTGTTGGATAACGATGGTTGTTCTAAGTGAAATGTATACTAATCATGCTGAAAGTATAGTCATTCGTGAGTATGCAATACTCGTGTTTTGAATGAACATTGTATTATCATTCGTGAGTACGTAATACTCTTATGTTGAACGGTTATTGTGTAATCGTTCTGAGTATATAATACTAGTTGGTTTTATGAATGACTAGTATATCAAATACATCATTTGTATAGTGCCTGGGACCTCAGTGGGACCCGTATGTAAGGGACAGAGGCCTCGACCGTTTGACGAGCCAGTGCAACATCCGACTGACCAGCCAGTACAGTGTCAGGATGACTGACCAGCCAGTACAGTGACAAGATGACTGACCCGATGGGGATCATACGCCTTAGTTCAAGCGACGACAGATCCGCATGACCGTTGACCAGGTGTGACCTTGGCATGTGGTATTCTCATCTTGGACTGAGACCAGCGTGACCATACTGGACCCTGTGCGTGTGACCCACAAGTTAGACGCTAACTCTTGGGGAGGACTTTCTATAGTCACAATGTGGCAGATTATGTACCTAGCGTATATGCTATAGAATTCACTATGTAAAGATGTAAAACTATTGCTCATATATGTGTATGTATGTGTATGTGTGTATGTATATGTATATGTATATGTATAAGTAGTAGTATGATGGTGGTTCTGCGTCACTTCCTCCTAGGGGGTTATTTCTATGTAATGTTGCTCCCAGCGTCCATTAAAAATAATGATCCCCGAGCGGAGTCATCGTTCTATGTCCCGACTAGCTGTCCAGCCTAGGCCCGTTAAATTCGCAAACAAGATGGCGACCGAGCTTGGCAAGGGTGTGCCGACATTGCTAAGCTTTTTCGTCATGCAATTAACTCTTTCGTCGTCGTAAATATACAACACGTTAATTTGTTGTTTTAAAGGAGCTGTAACTACGGATACGGTTAATTGAGGGATTGTCGAAATTGCCATGCTACTAAAGCATACGGACAATATGTCGACGACACGGTCGTGAATCGATTGGGATAATAAAAGGGTATGAATGTCATTGTCGTCGATTGATTCTTTATACGGGATTAATTTTCCGTCGTCGTAAATGGGTTCAGTTTTATTATAAGCTACGTAGTACGAAAAACGTTAACCGATGGAATTTTCGCATATTTTAATAAACGCGATTGGATTAGGAAGTAGTACGCTGGGAAATTCAGCCGAAGACAAAGCTATACGTCATTGGATAATATTACATATTTTACTGGAAGAAGACACTAACGCGTATTTGGGAATAAGCTTGGGTAATTTATCGGCACGATAATTAAACATTTTAACGACAGAGTGAAATGCTTCAACTAAACATTAGAGTAACTGAAATAAATTGATTTCGACTCATCAGGTGATAAATAGGTTTGCCCTCCGCATCGAGCATATATTGTAGCCGATCATCCGTAATGGGTTTTTCTTTCCATATACGAATTTGCATGTTTATGTTACGATCCGATCGTTTTTTAAATTGATGTTGGGGATATTGTTGCTGAAGCTGTGCTACAGACGCATGTTTGGATCGATAAATCACCAGTGTTTAGTCGTTGAAACGGCATTTTAGTAAAAATTCTTTGGATTTCTGGTTTAATGCTCGGATTATAAGTTGATGGTCGAAATCGCATCCATTCGAATTTAAATACGCTATTCGGAAAAGAGTTTCCTCGTTTAGCCAAATACATCGGTCGACGTTTTTCTTAACTGTGGGAAGACGATTCATTATTGTGTTGGATATACTCAATAATGATCCCTATAATCTAATTGGACATCGCTATCGAGCGGAATTTATGGGGCCTGCCATAAACTCCTCGAAGTAGGCTAAGGAGTAGGTTGAGTACGGAGCCTAAAAATAGACCAGCCCACCAGCTTAGGTATGTTAAATTCGACGTGTGTCTGACAGCAGTCCCGACAGTGTCATGGTAGTTACCCTAGACTGGCCTAGACACAGGGGCGTGTCACGCTTAGAAACAGCGTTAGAAAGACATATAGGTATATAGACCCTACCCTCTAATTGCTCTTGGGTATACAACTAAGAAAATCACAGATGTTACACGCGCTACACAAGCTGTCAGTGAGATGTGACATCTATGACACTTGACAAATACCTTACGTGATGGGTGACCGAAGGTGATAGTTAAGAGTTAAAGTATCCTAAATATCCGTGTATACAATTGATTGGAGGAAAACATGACCTGACAAAAATGTTATGGATGTGGTAACAATTAGAAATTATTTTGAATACGTTGTGTGCCCAGATTTCCAAGAATCAAAGTTTGACTCAACAATTAACATTTTATTCTATATATGTCTGGTCAAGTGATGCAAAATGCATCTGCGTGGCAGTTGAAATTCAACAGTGTAAGGAGGGGAGTTCACATAGTGAGTGATTTAAGATTTTAAGTCACATCGGCAATATTTCAGCCATATCGTGACTAAAGCAAGTTATAAATATATCAACAATTTAAGTGAAATTATAAAATTCTGCCGACGAAGGACAGTAAAATAACTAGAGTATCACAGATATAGATAAAACTAGTAACTAAATCTAAAACATTTGAAGTATACAAGACGATACAATATAAAAAACGGGCTATTGATCGCCAACAACTGAAGGTAGATCACCATACTAGGGACCATGGGGACTTACAGTACATTTGCTTCCTGCATGGACACTAGCTGGATTTACACCATCCCTTCAGCCGTTAGCAATTTAGCAAAACTAGCCATACATTAAAAGAACAGGTATTCTACGATTAAAAAAGTGGAACATTTTAATTTACTTCGAATGTTGTGGGACTTACATACCCTCTCAGGAGGACAATAATTTTACAGTACTTTAACCCCCCTCGTGGATACAGCCACTAACAATCTTAGTTACTAATTTCAAACTTCCAATCTTAAAAGATTTATGTATTTACAAATCATTTAACAAATCTAATTCTTTTAAAAATGCAATAATTAAATGAGAACTGATACTATTAAAAAGATCCTTCATAGTTCGTGATTTAAAATATTTATCCCTTGTGATGGAATACTCAACACAGTCAAGCAAGATATGCTTGACCGTGATTCTTTCATCACAAGGGATACAAAATGGAGGATCCTCACCTTTCAATAGGTATTCGTGAGTATATCTTGTGTGGCCAATACGACATCGTCGCATAATGACCTCTTCAAATCTTGACTGACAACCCAAGTAAGTGTAACCGATATAGGGTTTTATTTCATGTAATTTATTGATACCTACTTGGGTATGCCACTTCTTTTGCATCAGATCACGGATATAAGATCTTATAGCAGCTTTGTAATCAGAATATGGGATCAGAAGTGGTGTCACAGATTTGTTGAGTGCTGCCTTAGCAGCAATATCAGCCATTGTGTTCCCAGAAATGCCAACGTGGCTGGGTAACCAACAAAAGACGATGTCGCATTGGCCAGTAGCAAGTTCATTGTACAATTCAATAATTTCTAATAAAAGTGGATGTTTGCAAGAAAGATTTTTAATAGCCTGAAGACACGAAAGAGAATCTGAAAAGATGATATATTGTTTATATTTACGCCACCATCCTTGGATCCATCTGTATATAAGGATTTATAGGTATTATATTTATTTCTTAATTGACTAAATTCTTGTTTATACTGTAAATCATTAGTTTTGGATTTTTTTAATGTGGTTAATGTTAAGTCAACTTGTGGCCTCACCAATTGCCAAGGAGGAGAAGAAAGAAGACGAGAAGGAGATATATTCTCCAGCTCAATGCCAGCAGCAGAAAGGAATGGTTTAATTCTGTGCCCAAAAGGCGGAACAAGAGAAGGCTTTTTGTTATACAAATCCTCATAAAGAGGATTGAAGACACAGTTAAATGCAGGATTAGATTCGTTTGAATATAGTTTGGTAATATATTGTAAAGATAATTTAATACGGCGTTGGGAAAGAGAAGGCTCATCTGCCTCAACATAGAGACTATCAACTGGAGAGGTTCTAAATGATCCAAGACAGAGTCGTAGACCTTGGTGGTGAACAGAATCAAGTAGTTTAAGGTTGCTTTTGCAGGCTCCACCATATACGATCGAACCATAATCAAGTTTAGATCGTACCAATGATCGGTATAAGTGAAGGAGCGTAGTTTGATCCCTTCCCCACTTTGAATTGGAGACAACCTTTAACAAATGGAGTGCCTTCAGGCATTTAGCTTTAAGGGATTTAATATGTGGCAGGAATGTTAAATGGGAATCGAAAATTAGGCCCAAGAATTTGGCCTCCTTTACAACTTTGATGGGAGTGCCATTTAAAGATAGTTCTGGGTCCTTATGAGGCTTATATTTACGGCAGAAATGTATACAATTAGTTTTGGATTTAGAAAATTTAAAGCCGTTTTCAAGACACCATTTATTCATTTTATTTAAACACAACTGCATTTGCCGTTCAATAGTATGCATATTTTTACCGCGACAAGAAATATTAAAATCATCCACAAAAAGTGATCCATCAATTGAATCGTTTAAAACCTTGGATAAACTGTTAATCTTAATGCTAAATAATGTGACAGACAAAATACTTCCTTGTGGAACACCCTGATCCTGATTATAATGGTCAGACAGGGTAGAACCCACTCGGACTTGAAATTGCCTGTCATTTAAAAAGTTGGATATAAAGTGAGGCAAACGGCCTCGTAATCCAAAGTCATGTAAATCTTTTAAAATCCCATGTTTCCATGTTGTGTCGTATGCTTTTTCTAAATCGAAAAAGATCGACACTGCATGCTGTTTATTAATTATGGCATTTTTTACAAAAGACTCTAAACGCACTAAATGATCGATGGTACTACGGTTTTTAAGGAAACCATATTGGATATTAGTTATAAGGTTATTGGTTTCCAAGTACCAAACAAGTCGATTGTTGATCATACGTTCCATGGTTTTGCAAACGCAGCTAGTCAGTGAAATTTGTCTATAATTAGAGGGATCAGTATGATCACGTCCAGGTTTAGGTATGGGAACAATAATAGCATCCCGCCACGACGAAGGAAAATTTCCAGATGTCCAAATGTCATCAAAAATATGTAAGAGCGTCTCTAAACATGATTCAGGTAAGTGCTTTAGGAGTTGATAATGTATGTTATCAGCCCCTGAAGCAGTATCATGTGCCTGATCAAGAGCAGTATGTAGCTCATGTATCGAAAAGGTTTCATTGTAGTCTTCCCCATTATCCGAATTGAAATTAAGAGATTTCTTTTCTTGCTGTTTTTGATACTTTTGGAATTCAGGTAAATAATTAGATGAGGAAGAATGTTTGGCCAGCGTCTCACCAAGTTTATTTGCAATATCTGATTTATCAGTCAATAACTGATTCCCATCTTTGAGATGGTGAATGCTAGACTGAGAGCCCTTACCCTTGATTTTCTGGATCATATTCCACACCTTTGATATAGGTGTGCGCGAATTGATTTTTGAGACATAGTTTCGCCAAGAGTGGCATTTATTTTGCTTGAAAGTACGTCGTGCTTTAGCGTTTAAAATTCTAAATTTGTCTAAATTGTGGACCATACGATGGCGACGGAAATAATGCTCAGCTTTCTTCCTTGCCTTCCTTGCCTGTTTGCATTGGTCGTTAAACCATGGTTTTCGTACGTGTGGAATTGCAGAGGACTTTGGGATACACTCGTCAGCTATGTTGTTAAGTTCATCAGAAAACAATTTTATAGCATCAGGAA